TTGATACTATATATGCTGTGTAGTTAAAATCACGCGGAGTTTACTGTACCGGTAAACAGTTAGTAGACGTTACACTTTTAGCGAAACAAAAATAATTTTCTGAATTTATGACAAAAATATCACTTTTTCAATGTGTTCGTTTTTGTAAAGTTCGGCATTCGTAGAATAGATGACACAAACAATTTATGTCATTTGTAAACAATTTAGCATTGAAAAGTTAATACTAACGACACCACCTCGTGCATATTTTTAAGGTTTCAAAGTCAGTTTTCTCACATCTCTAAATTTCAGTTTGCTGTGTGTGTGAAATCCTAAAATCTAAGAAACATAAAATTTTGTACGCATACTCCACAATCAATATTATAGGGACTGGTCTATCTAAAAGTAGATTTTAGAAAGTTTTTGTTTCTAAAATTTGATTATTGTCTTATGATGCTTGATTTTTTTGACTTTTTTAATAAACCTACATTTTAAAATTCTACGAAAAATATTTAAAAACATGTTTAAAGTAAATAATCTAGACCTGTACCTCTAAATAAGATAAAGGGTCACGGATCCATCATCTATTGTTGAATACCTATGTTTGTTTTTAAAATTTTAGGATTTTAAGTACATATTGTTTTTTTTACAAGATGGCGGCTATTGCCATGAAAACTATGATTTTTTAACACTTCAAGTATACAAATGTAATAACACGTATCCATACAAACGACCATTATAAAATAACTGCTCTAAGTCTGTAAATAAAAAAGTAAATTTTTTTTGGTGTAGTGACCCCTTAACACTTATTTTTATGAATTTCTCACGGAAGATGTCAATGCGGTATACAAAATAAAATTCAAAAATTTTTTTTTAAGTTTAATTCGGAGTATACAGAACCATTGTATGTTACTAAGCAATTATGATGAACAGATTTGTGATAAGAACCATCACAAAGTTCGGGGCAGTACAACTAGAGGTCCAGTACCAAAGGCGCCACCTACAATGTGATTACTGAAGGATAACAAATGCGAAAGTAGTTAAGGCGAATACCGATTGTAAACAAGTGTACTTACCTTGTATACAGAGATCTACTTTTCTTAGCTTTTTTCAAACAATCTTTGTTAGTTATTCTAGCCGTCCAAAGTATTCGTAGCATTCGTCTTAGAAACCACATCTCTTTTGCTTCAATAGTCTTCTTAATCTGTTCACTAATATTTCAAGATTCTTTGCCATACAACAGAACAGTTTCTATGTTACATTATAGAACTCTCTTTCTGACATTAAATGAGAGCCACTTATTGCATAAGATGTATTTTCATTATATACATATATATTTTTTTTCTTTTTTAGAATGTGAATTTTTTTTTTTTTTAGCAGGCTTCGACGCTGACACCTGTGATCAGAACCACATTTTATTTACAACTTTACTGTAAAGTCATTGTCATTTCTGACCACTAAACTTAAGAGGCAGAAACGCAAACAGGAGCAGCTGTGTCCCCATGCTGTGGCTAAGGAAGTGCAGAAAAGGCAAAGTACAACGTACACAGCTGTACTTTACTGTACTTTCTTTTACATTTATTGTGTCTTTATTACTTACTATGTATGGACATTCCATTACAAAAGGTGCTTCAATTCAACATTTATCACTTCGCTATGCATCGCTTGCTAGAGATCAAAGAAATCTAAAAACTGTTGAAAAAGAGGAAGCCACTGAGATAGAAAATGAACAGGGTGACCCACACCCAACTGAAAAAGTAAACAACGATGAGAAAAACGATATTTTGTTTACTGACGCTAGCAATCTAAATGTACTTGAAAAGACCCTCGTCGCTGATGCGAATTTACAGAAAAGGAATTTAAGATATGGTGGCAGTGTCGCTTCCCTATCTCTCGATCTGAAACACAGAAGAATTGAAGCGTTGCTAAAACAAGGGCTGAAGAAAGATGGGCACACAATTAGGACTGATTCCAGCAAATACCACGATAATCATAACAATGATGCATACGATAAAACTAAAAACAAAAATAATGAAAATAATAGATCTCAAAGTGTAATTAATGAAGACTGGGTAGTTGCCTTGCGTAGCCGAACTAGAAGAAAAGGAATTTTAAAGAAGAGAAATCTGCACTGGACAATTGCTCTGGCTGGAAAATATAGCGGCCGTCTCTTCACACCTCCCGCTGGAGAAATTATGTATGTATATGTATTATATGTATGTATGTATGTATAGGTATGTATGTATGTATGTATGTATGTATGTTGTATGTATGTATGTATGTATGTATGTATGTATGGTTGTATGTATGGTATGTATGTATGTTGTTATGTATGTTATGTATGTATGTATGTATGGGTATGCATGCATGCATCATGCATGCATGCATCTGCATGCATGCATGCATGCATGCATGCATGCATGCATGCATGCATGCATGACATGCATGCATGACATGCATGCATGTATGTATGTATGTTGTATGTATGTATGTATGTGATCGTTTATGGATATTGTATGTATGTATGTATTATGTATGTTATGTAATGTATGTATGTATGTATGTATGTATGTATGTATGTATATGTATGTATGTATGTATGTATGTATTGGATGTATGTATGTAGGTAGGTAGTAGGTAGGTAGTACGGTAGGTAGGTGGTAGGTAGGTAGTAGTAGGTGGTCGGTAGGTAGGTAGGTAGGTAGGTAGGTAGGTAAGGTAGGTGTGTATGTATGTATGTATGTATGTATGTATGTAATGTATGTATGTATGTATGTATGTATGTATGTACGTACGTACGTACGTACGTACGGACGGACGGACGGACGGACGGATGGATGGATGGATGGATGGAGGATGGATGGATGGATGATGGATAGGATGGATGGATGACTGATTGGATGGATGAGATGGATGGTATTGGATGGATTGGATGGATGGATGGATGGATGGATGAATGGATGGATGGATGGATATGGATGGATGGATGTATGTATGTATGTATGTATTCGTATGTATGTATGTATGTATGTATGTATGTTATGTATGTATGTATGTATGTATGGATGTATGTATGTATGTATGTATGTTAGTATGTAATGTATGTATGTATCTATGTATGTATGTATTAGGGGTTTACCGAATAGGGATTTTTACTATTCGGCCGAATACGAATAGCTGGACCAACTAATTGGCCGAATACGAATACGAATACGAATAGTGTATAGTGTATAACAAATATATTTAGAAAAAAAACCACATCCATAATGTCAAATGTGCACTGAACTTTTACTTCACATAAAGTAGCACAGAATAGTCATCTTCTTCTTTAGCATTCTGAGCCCTTGAGGTATACTGCTGCAGATATCACTCGTCTCCAATCATCTCTCTGGCTGGCCTTATCTTCACAATTTGTGACACCAGTTGTTTGCAAGTCTGACTGGACATTATCTCTCGAACTTCTTTTTTTTTTTTTTTTGTCTGCCTCGTGGTCTACGCCCATTCCTCTCTCAGGTGTTTACAGTTTTTACTTCTCTGTCATCTTACATTCTTTCAATATGCCCCAACCATTTTATTCTGTTAGCTGGGTGGGTGGGTGAGTGCGTGTGTGCGTAGGTGCGTGCGTAAGTGTGTGCGTGCGTGCGTGCGTGTGTGTGTGTATTTGTGTGTGTGTATGTATATTTGTATGTTTGTATGTATGTATTGTGTATGCGTATGTGTGTGTATGTAAGTATGTAAAGTAAAAGTAAAGGACTCTTTGCCACTCCTTTAGGCGTATAGGGCTAGACCTATATTTTTATAGACCAATCTGCACAAAATGGGTGATGTGGTCAGCATCACGCCGGCCGTAGAAAGATAGAAGAACACACTAAACAACATAAAAATCTAAAGTTTTAGTTACCGTGCCGGGAATTGAACCTGTCACCTCCAGAAGGCGTGTTCGCCTCGCCATGGATACAAGTGCACTAAGAACATGGTCAACTAGGCATCACCCCCCCCCCAAAAAAAAGGTGTCTTATTGGCCATGTCTATCGTACAGCTTGAAATCCAAAACTATGGAATACGGACAGAATTCATTTCAAACAACCATTGAAATGGCACCATAGGTTACACACATTTATATTAACGAATCATATGTCGAATAACAATCATAGCAACAATTTACGAACACAATAGACCTTAATGCTTTGTCTAAAATACACAAACATTTAAGAAAGGTATTTGATTAGTAGGTTCCGGTGTGTATACGTCATTCCTATAAATAAACAGAGGGGGAAGCTTTTATGTAAAGGATACGCAGCTAAGTTTGAAATTGTAACTATGGGTGTCTTTCAGAACATCACAGTGGTGATATCTCTTTCAATGCGACTCCCGCGAAGTGTCAGAGAACCTCAAGACTGCTTTATCAGAACAACCACCCGGTTCGGAAATTAATGCATAGTCTTCTATATTAATGAAAAAATACTGAAGCCTTTTATATGCAGCGAGCTAATTCATGATAGAACGGACGTGGTGAATGCTCTCTGCGATCAACTTGATAGGGCAATAAAACAAACAGAAAATCCATACATTCACTCCTAAAAAAGGGTGGGGAGGGGGTGTACAGATGCTCTGGGAGATGTTCAGCACTCAATGGAAACACAGATGCAGTTCTAATCAGGTTGTAACTGTGATGGGTGCTTGAAAGGGTCGAATGTAAAACTGGCCTGCGTTCCTAATTTGTCACCCTTTGAAAAAAAAAAAATCCTTTGTTCGTTCGTTGGCTACTCAAGATGGGACGGAGCAGTGTGGCAATGTGAAATGTCCCTGTTGCAGTGATGTCAATTCTTCTTTGATTGTTTGACTGACTCACCGAATGACTGATTGATTGCTTGATTGATTGAATGGTTGATTCATTCATTCATTCATAAAAAATTATTGTTGTTCGGCTTGTTTACATTTCTCAATGTGTTTTCTCCGTATAGGCAATCATTATAGGAGTAGGGCATTGTGGAACCAGAGCTCTCCTGGACTTCTTGACCATGCACCCAAACATTGTGACCTCTAACTCTGAGATCCACTTCTATGACAGAGACGAGAACTTCGCTAAAGGATACAGCTGGTACAAGGCACAGATGCCGCTATCATACAACAATCAGGTTCACGTGGTTTTATACAGTTCATTCATTCAGGTTCATCTTTTCTTATTTATTACATTCATTCACTCATTTATTCATTCATTTTTCTTCTTCTTCTTCTTCTTCTTTTTCTTCTTCTTTTTCTTCTTCTTTTTCTTCTTCTTTTTCTTCTTCTCCTTCTTCTCCTTCTTCTTCTTCTTCTTCTTTTCTTCTTCTTCTTCTTATTCTTCTTCTTCTTCTTCTTTCTTCTTCTTCTTTCTTCTTCTTCTTCTTCTTCTTTTCTTCTTCTTCCTTCTTCCTTCTTCTTCTATTTTCTTCTGTCTTCTTCTTATTCTTATTTCTTCTTCTTCTTTCTTCTATTTCTTCTTCTTCTTCTTCTTCTTCTTCTTCTTCTTCTTCTTCTTCTTCTTCTTCTTCTTCTTCTTCTTCTTCTTCTTCTTCTTCTTCTTCTTCTATTTCTTCTTCTTCTTCTTCTTCTTCTTCTTCTTCTTCTTCTTCTTCTTCTCTTCTTCTTTCTTCTTCTCTTCTTCTTCTTCTTCTTCTTCTTCCTTCTTCTTCTTCTTCTTTTTCTTCTTTCTTCTTCTTCTTTCTTCTTATTCTCTTCTTCTTCTTCTTCTTCTTCTTCTTCTTCTTCTTCTTCTTATTCTTCTTCTTCTTCTTCTTCTTATTCTTCTTCTTATTTCTTGTTCTTATTTCTTCTTCTTCTTCTTCTTCTTCTTCTTCTTCTTCTTCTTCTTCTTCTTCTTCTTCTTCTTTTTCTTCTTCTTCTTCCTTCTGTGGCACAGTCGTGCCTATACATCCCCCAAAGAAATAGATGTGCCTAAGTCGGCCAAGTGAATGAATATAGTTCGTATCTCTCTTCAATCGTACTCAAGAACAAGGCCAGTGATGTAACAATTACACAAGAGCTGTTTATTTACAATATTCCAGTCAATAGAGGCTTTATAAATTCAATAGTATATGAACACTGTATTACTCTGGATACAGGCTTATTCGTATGACTCTCTACGAGTTCCTTAACCCACTGTTCTAGCTAAACTCCAAGTTTAACATATACCTTCTAAACGAATTAAATCACTAAGTTTTCTCTCCTAACCGTCTTTATCAAGCGGTTCAGCTCCAACCTAGTCCTATCAAGCGTACATTCCTGGCTAACTGTCTAGTTTCTCCTAACGGTTTCCGGGGTCTAACTAACCTCTCAAGCGAAGCGTCCCGGGGCTAACTAACTTCTCAAGCGGTCCTGGCTCTGACTTTATTCCCGCCTTTCCCCCTGGTCCTCGGGGGTAACCTTCCTGGCGTACCTTCTCCGTATCCTCTCCATCACTATCTCTGTCACCTGTCTTTGGTGGTCACGTCTGGATGAACGTATCTCACAGTTCACACGGGCACTCGTCGAATGTTTCATCCCTCACTGTCAGATGTCATGGCGGTGTGTTCTGCATAGCTGGCTAGGCCATGGCTTTCTAATCACCTATTTCTGTCATTTCACACAGTGATGGATTAGTACGCTGTGTGGTGGTCTGAATGTATGCTTGTTCATTTAACCCCTTTTCTGCCTATATTTCGTTACATTCGCCCTTCACACTTTTTAACAAAATTGTTTCCTATCTTCAATTTTATAAAAAACTACTCTAATTATACCCGCTACCTACCTAACTAAACCTTATGTGAACATCTAGCCACGTAATGAAAGCATACAACATAACATGTAACATCATAAAATTCATGCAGTATAATGAAAACGTGACATGCATACAATAACTAATAGTCAATAATTCTAAAGACATAAAAAAAAAAACGATACAACTCCCTCGTTGTATTAGCATAACGACCTCTTATTCACTGGTATCCCTAATGAATGTGCGGAGTTGTCTGAAGTATAAAGGAATAGTATCTGTATTCCTCCTTTATAAACTCAAACCAGAAAACATTGTATACAAGAAATGACATGCCATGGTATCCCCAGTTATCAATAAAATAAAACTCGAAAAATGTCATCTCCCCAAGAAAGGATGAAAACAGAATCTCTGAGAAAGTCAACATAGATTGAATAATAAGGTATAACCTTTACAGAGTATAAATAATTCTTATAACGTTAGGTATATTAATTGGAGAGAAATTTCTCGGAAACAATAGTAGCATTTCCTCCAGTCGAATGTACAATGCCACCACCTGTATTTACAGGCATTTATCTACTGTGATAATCCACTGGGTTTATTGTTGCTTCCCTAAGAGGTTGCTTCCTCTGTTTAATGCATATCGCATCTTTTGTAAAGAAATAGCCGGCCTATATTCAGTTACCAATCATGTCCTGCTTTGGACTGGCTTATCGCCAAGTACGTTTCTAACTGTGTACCTCAGTAAAGTCTGGTAAACTCAAATCAGTCAACATTCTGACAGAATGTATAAGAGAGGTTTTGTGGCCAGTAACTCTCTTAGCGAACATAAAACATGTAGATATTGTAATCTTCACCCACAACCGAACGTGTGGATTTTCACTTTTCCGAGAGAGTACAACACGATAAAAAAAACGTTCATAGTGCAGAACCAAATGTAAATATTAAATGGTAAGGACAAAACAACAGGTATATATTTAATATTGTCGGACAAATGACATGTAGACACAACAATATAATATGTGTAGCGAGCGCGGTACCTCTGTACACAGCAATATAGCGTACGTAATTTGTAATTAATGAAACTAATTACTTGTTATACACCCTACAATCCCACATTTATTTAACCATTTTACGGACGATCCCATTTCATTCAGTCATGGTGAAAGGGGGGGGGGGGGGGCTGTAATTAATGTATGGTTTACTCAGGGTATAAATTCAGTCTACCCCCTGGTGATTCTGGCCTTACTAACTGTAGTGGATGCTAACTGTTCTAGTTCTATTTCTTCTTCTGTCTTATTAGTGATCTGTGTTTTTTCTTTTGTTAAATGAAAAGTTAGCAATACATCGGAAAATCTTATTAATTTTGCTATATTCGGTAGATGCCACTTCATTACGACACTTCTTGCTACTTTTATTTCCGTGTAAATTTCCATCTAATACATTTGATTTTCTCGCATCTTTATTTTCCTGTAAACCATGCCGCTCGTTTAAATCGGTATGCGAATTTTTAATGCCCGACATTCTTGTCTCCTGTTTTGCTCTTTTGTTAGGCGAAGTTTCTACTGTTTCTTCTTCTCTCTCTATTACTACTATTACATCTGTAAATTTAACTGGTACTTCTGACGGTTTTAAATTCTTTCAACACTAGACGGAGTAGTAGTCCTGGTTCTAACCGCGACTAAAATTCTACGACCCGTTTTGTTTGTGATCCAAATGTCTTCACTATCTGCGTCGTAGTTTGTCTGAGAATAAATCTACCTTTATGTTACTAACTACAAACGGTAATGTATTTATTCCTTCACCTTCATCTTCTGTAGGCATCACCTGTGTATAAGACAAAATCCTGCTGATTTCTTTCTTTAATTGTCCCCTACCCTCTCTACTTTCCTATGTGCGCTATTACGATCTAGTCCTTTTACTTCTACCGCGTTTACTTCCCATAACCATTCCATTGCTAAACAACCCTCTTTATCTTCTTCTTTTTCCGACTTAACGTTGGCCGGTATTACCTCTTTATGTGTTTCTATGTTCCCTTCTTCTTTAAAGTATCGACCGCGTGTCCCGTTTACAATTACCGCATTTACTTCGTTAATGTAGCTTTTATTAAACCGTTTCATGGGATTCCTCTCTTTTTAAAACCCTCTTACTACTAATCTATTTGTCTCAATCATCAACAGCGCGAACGTGCTTTTATTACCTGTCTGCCATAATCCGTTATAGTTACTGACCTCGCGATTATTACCTAAGTTTTTGCATCTTATATTCTTATTATAGCCTAAATTTTCTTACCTGTCTCTTTTGAATTTGTTGGCTTGATTATGGGTCGTACCGTGGGCCCTGTAATCTTGATTAGTGCTCATCGTGCTAAATCTGGAATCCGGATTACATGACCTGACTCGACTTCGGTTATTATCATGGATATTTCCTACTCTATTTATGTTCTGATATCTGTTACTATTATTATGCCACTGCTCCTGTGCTCTTATATGTCTGTTAATTTCTAACTTCCGTAACCTGTCTGCTCTATCTAAATTTTTAAAATGCCCTCGTTCATTCCGTATTTGTGACCTCAGTTGACCCTGATTTTTCTCGTACGCTTTTGTGTTGTCTGGTCTGCGATACTGATTGTCTCTAGGGTATTGCAATCTCTCGTTAGCATAATTTCGCCTGTCTGGGAAACCGGACAGTCGATTAACATCGCCGTTACTTCTAGTGACTGTAGCTATGTTATAATTTCTTTCTCTCTGTCTTTGTCTACGACTATCTACTGTTGACCAATGCTGGGCAGTTTTTTTGTTCTATAAAAAATGGAATACGGAGTAGTCTACCTAACTGTGCTACTTCATTAAAAACTCTGCTAAACTCTGCTCTCACTGTTCCTTGATATGCCATTATTAAAACCTGGAAAATTAACTTAATGCAAGTAAATTAAAATTGAAAAAACAGAAAATGTCAAATTACCTTGTTGAGTGCGGTCTGAAAAAAAAAAATTCTCTTTTCACTACACACTGTAATTAAAAATCGGCACTGTCCTGGAATTATTTTCTAAGTTAATAGGAAAGGTAGGGAAAGATAAGAAAAGGTTTTCCCTACACCACTGAAAATTGAAAATCACAATATATTTAAACTAATTAATGTTAATGTTCAAGGTTCTTTAAAATCGCGCTTATTTTGCAGTTCCTATTTGTAAAATCGGACAGCTCACAGTTCTTGACTTTCCTATAATCTTCCGAGTGTGTAAAGTTAGGAAAAGTTTATATTATGGCTCCAGACTAGAACGGGCGCGTCCCCCTGATTCTAGTGTAGACGGTTTGCTCCGGGCTAGAACGGGCGTGTCCCCCTGATTCTAGTGTAGACGGTTTACTCCAGGCTAGAACGGGCGTGTCCCCCTGATTCTAGTGTAGACGGTTGGCTCCAAAAGGTGGTGCAGGCTGTTGGTCTGGTTTACGTCTCTCCAATCTGATGAAGGGTTTGTCGAATGTTTTTTTTTTTTTTTTTTTCAGCAGGTACTATCATCAACGTGCTTTTAGTTCACGTTTTGTTGCGGTAGCTTATTTGGTATTTTGTTACAGCAGTCTTGACTGTTAAAGATGTCGATGTCAACAAGACTGTCGTTGGTCACGGCATCCCAAATATCCACATACTTGTGGCACAGTCGTGCCTATACATCCCCAAGGAAATAGATGTGCCTAAGTCGGCCAAGTGAATGAATATAGTTCGTATCTCTCTTCAATCGTACTCAAGAACAAGGCCAGTGATGTAACAATTACACAAGAGCTGTTTATTTACAATATTCCAGTCATAGAGGCTTTATAAATTCAATAGTATATGAACACTGTATTATCTGGATACAGGCTATTCGTATGACTCTCTACGAGTTCCTTAACCACTGTTCTAGCTAAACTCCAAGTTTAACATATACCTTCTTAACGAAGTAAATCACTAGTTTTCTCCTAACCGGTCTTTCCAGCGGTTCAGCCCTAACCTGTCCTATCAAGCGGTTCCGTGGCTAACTGTCCTCTCCAGCGGTTCCGGGACTAACTAACCTCTCAAGCGGTCCCGGGGCTAACTAACTTCTCAAGCCCCTGGCTCTGACTTTATTCCCGCTTTCCCGCTCCTCCTGGCGTACCTTCTCCATCACTTCTCTGTAACCTGTCTTTGGTGGTCACGTCTGGATGAACGTATCTCACAGTTCACGGGCACTCGTCGAATGTTTCATCCCTCACTGTCAGATGTCATGGCGGTGTGTTCTGCATAGCTGGCTAGGCCATGGCTTTCTAATCACCTATTTCTGTCATTTCACACAGTGATGGATTAGTACGCTGTGTGGTGGTCTGAAATGTATGCTTGTTCATTTAACCCCTTTTCTGCCTATATTTCGTTACACTTCTTCTTCTTCTTTTTTTTTTTTTTTTTAGCATTCCGAGCCCTTGAGGTTCATTGCTGCAGATATCACCAGCCTCAATCATCTCTCTGTTTGGTCTACTCTTTCCAGTAGGTGACACCAAGGATTTGCAGTTCTGTCTGGGCATTATCTCTCCATATTTTTCTTGGTCTGCCTAGTGGTCTACGACCATTCATCTCCCTGTGGTATCCGGTTTAACTTCTCTGTTATCCGACATTCTCGCAACATGCCCCAACCATTTCAGTCTATTAGCTTTCATGTGATTAGTGGGGATTTAAACAGATAATGAATTTCGTTTTGGCTTCTCACTCTCCATTCCTCGCTGTTTGCATCTTTGATGGGTCCAATGAAAGATTCGTCGTAATACTGTTTTCGAAAACCTGAAATAAGGTTTCATTTCTTTCATTCATTCGTTTTAATTCAAATTTATTCAAAACTAATGTTCCAGTCAGTCGATTAATGAGGTATGATTTCCACAATGATGAAAGAAATGACTTCAATGAATATTACTTGTCTGTGTCTTAATTGTATGAGCGACCGTCAAGTAAGCAATGGCAAACTACTGGACGTAAATTTGCCTAGAGATACCACACAACAGCCAGGCGCGGCTGGGGTTGATTCTGCAACGTCCTGTAAAGGTTACACAACTAACCTTAATTGTATCCTTTCCATGTCTTGCTGTCTGCCTATTTCTTGTCTGTCCCTAGATGATCCTACAAGTTTGTGTTCATAAGAATGTTAGTCTTTTAATGTTGCCGACATATTTCAGATGTTTTTTTTTTCTTTCTTTCTAAATGTTAACCTTTTTCAGAACTTCCTTTCTATTCCTCACTCCTTCTGGAACCTATGCATTTTATTTTTTAACTTCTGTGTTCATGAACTTTCATCTGTACTTGTCTATATCCACATCTTCAGAGACTGGGAGTTCGATTCTGAAATTGCATGTCTATTACCTAGGACCCATTCAATGCTACACCTGCGCAAATATGCTTTTTTAGTTTTTAGCAAGTATTAATGTCATCATCATCATCATCATCATCATCATCATCATAAGCAGAATTAACATCATATTTATCATCGTCATAATTATCATAATGTTGCATGTCTCTAAGGTTCGGAGCCACACAAAAGCACACTGCAGCTCTAACAAATATGACGTACAAGGAGACACTTTAAGGGGGAGGGTGGGGGTGGGGGAGGGGTTCTTTTGAAGTCGTAGTGCATCTGTCTAAGTTGCAAGAAACTAACATGATAAAGCAATGGCAAACTTCTGGACGTATATTTGCCTAGAAAAACCGCAACAGCCAATCCTGGGATTGGTTCTGCGTCGTACTGTAAAGGACACGCAACCAGCTTTTAACTTTACAGCTTCTATGTGATACCCCCATGTACTGTTTTAGTAATCAGTACGTCAATATCCCACTGCAGATCACCTTGGAGAAAACACCATGTTACATCTGGAGTGAAAGAGCGCTGAATGAAATTTACAAACTTAACAAGAAGACCAAACTGATTGTTATTTTCAAAGATCCTGTTGCTCGTCTCGTCTCGATGAAGCTTACCGTAAGATGTCACATTCATATATGATTAGTTAGTTAATTGGTATTTTTTTTTTCATCGAACACCGGCTGTGAACTCCAGTGGAAGGTCTCGGTTAATCGTCCGCTTGGACTTTTGGCTTTCACCTGGACCTGATTTTTGCGTGTACAACCGTTTTTCATTTCCCTGCCTCTTGGGCAGCTGTACGCCGACTTCGAAGGAAGACGTCAGGCCTATTTCTAGGGTGACTGTGGCCATTGTTTTGTGTGGGTCGAGACGTTGCCTGATTTGTGTGGTGTCCATTTTGTCGCCTTCGCCGCAGGTATTGCCCCCGGAGTACCCCTTTGGGGCAGCCCCCTGTGGAACAGTTGGCCCTCAAGGGAAGGCAGGGGCAGATCATGGGCATTCCCCGCCATCCAAGGAGGCTTCCATGCATGCAGAGCCGGCACATATCGCTCTGTTTCTGGGCTCACCCAAGGAATCGTCACGTCCTGCACATGCCTGCTTAACCTCACAACCGTATCAGGCCTCCCGCTCGACAGGGGCTGCGCCCTCTGAAAGTCAGCGGGGAGCAGCCTTTGGGTTTTGGACTTTTGTGACCACACAGATAGGTACATTAGCCCGACAGAATTTCACATCCTGAATCAGGCATATCGTTGTAAGTTTTTCCCAGCACTCGGGCGAGTGAGGTCTTTGGGTGTGAGTATTCGGTCTCTTTCAGTTCAGTGCAAATTTTGATAGTCATATTTTGATCCGTATGATCTAGTTTTGTCGGACATTTAGGCTTAGCCATCTGATGGATGGTTGCTGTTGTGGTGTACCCCAGCGCGGTGACGACGACACTGAGGGTTAACCGAGGATGTACGTGAATGGCCAGCCTATGGATGGTTGTTGTTGTGGTGCACCTCAGCGCGGTGACAACGACACTGAGGGCCAACCGGGGATGCACAAGGATGACCAGCCTATGGAGGGTTGCTGTTGTGTTGCCCCTCAGCGCGGTGGCGACGACACTGAGAATTAACAGAGGATGTGCAGTGAGCAATGTTCTCTTTACTCAGCAGTCTTTTAACCAAGGGTTGTAATTTTAGCTGTATGTTTGTCAACCCTACTCATGTTCCTAATGAGTTTTGATAACATTTTCACCCAAGCGTTTGGGGGCGGGCTGATGAGAGTCACAAGGACACATCACCTCTGGGGGCCGCCAAACTCCGAGATCCCCTGACAGCTCTGTTAATGCTCATTTGAGACATTATCCGTGGCGCACGACGAGGACGTGCTGTAGGGGTCTTGCGTGAGGATCTGTACAACCAGGATAGTGGAGGACTGGCGCCCAAGTGACGTACGGAGTATCTCCTTATACACATCATGTTGGACTTAACTTCCCCTCGAGCCTGTGACATAAATCACCGCGCCACATTCTGGCGAGTGATGTGGATTCACTGCAACCAAAGTTTTCTATCCTTCCCATTTCTCTGAGGGCATTAATAATATCAGCATGATCCATAGGCTGACCGTCGGTAGTGATAGCAGATCCAGCCAACCTGTCAGCTCTTTCATTTCCATCGACGCTCATATGTGATTATACATGGGATTGATGTTTAATCGTTTTCCTCTCCTTGAAGTCGATGTCGAAAAGTACTGGCAGTTATGTCTATCCACAAACTTCTGTTTCGTGTACTTTCAATAGATTCTGACACATAACTTCAATAGTCCATGCCGGAGGGCGCTGGGTGTCACGCCTATCCACAACTTGATGTCCTGTTACTTTATATGATTTTTGACATAAAGGCTTTTCCATAGTCTATGATGTATTGTACTGGTTGACATGTTTATCACAGACTTCTGTTTCGTGTATTTCAATCAATTTTGACACATAGGTTGTTCCATAGTTAATGCTGTATGCCACTGGCAGACATGTATATCACAAACTTCCGTTTCGAGTACTTTCAATCATTTCTGACAGAGATGGTCTTGCTTACCTTAATGTCAAACTGCCCAGAATCTTCTCTCTCGGTCTCCAGTGGCTCTTTTCCTCTCCAACTTTCCCACTGTCACGACGTGCTCCTGTTTTCTCCTTCTCATTGTAGGATCAAATAATGTCGAATGTCCCTTTCTGATGTGAGCTATCAGTTCACTTTGCGAGTCAGGTTTCTTCCCCCCCCCCCCCTTTTTTTTTAAATTTTTATAAGGAATCTTTACTTTTCTGTCTAGTGTATTTTCATCATTCATCTATAAAACCACCTTTCTGTAGCATCCAAATATACGTTTCACTAATTGTCCAACTGTACATTTTTTACTTTCATATATGAGGGTACGTTTTATACAGCGTTTATATTTCTTGTGTCTGTTGATAAAGAAAGGCTGATTCATACCTGTTTATATATGGGATTTACAGTTCTTGTATACTTGCATGCAGGGAGTCAGAGTGCAAAAACGTTGTGGCTTAAAGGTTACACGCCAGCCTAGAGATACTGGACTGGCACCAGCACATGGGTGGATATTGTTGATGTTATTGTTGTTGCTCTTTTGTTTAACTTGATTTTAAAGCTGATCTACTCTAAATGGGTAAGAGAAAATGTAATGAGAAGTAAATGCGGTCAGTATGGTGTTGAATACATCGACTACCAAATGTCTATTGGTTAATTTTTTAAACACATTGAGTTTGGCATAAAAAGCCCAATGCAAGTTGGGCGTTAAAATAATGGGTTCCTAACTTTACTTAGTTACGTATACAATGTTTAGATATGGCAAGATTCTTGCTTGATTTTCCAGACTTCTAGCTTTAAATTCCTACATGCGTGAATTGATGATAATTTTTTTAGGTGGCATTAATTATTTTCACAAAAATATCCTTTTCATCCCTCAGTGTTATAATTTGACTTAAAGTGTCTTTCGAGTTCGCAGGGCATATTTTTCACATGTTATTCATTGTGTTATTATTTGTTTAGTACAGTTATGTAATTTGCATTAATGTTTTAAATATTGCTTTGCTTACACCTTTCTATGTTGTTATTAGGTCATACATTGTTCTTTGAATATTTATTCAGAGCGACCAGGTCGACCAATTGGTGTACACAGTTTAAGTCTTGCCCTATATGCCCCATTCTCCTGAAGGCATGAAAACGGTCCTTTCTTCTCTCTACTTACCAGGTCACCGAACCCTTAAATGGGAACCAGGGCATGACCTGGGAAGTGAAGGCGACCGGCATGATGTTGACAGTATCACCCGTAGAGTGCTAGTTTATATGTACAAACTGTACCCAGGCACTGTTACTACAAACTGTTAACACAATCTGTAACCCCAAGTGATATATTAGCGTTAAAACAAATACAGTTGACTTTACAAGTTAGCTTATACTAAAATAATGTTTTTATGTCCCTAATATGGTACATTTTTTATTGTTTAAAAATATTTCTACTCCGTGTAATGAGACATTTTATAACTACCAAATAATAACTGATAACATATAGTATATATATATATATATATATATATATATATATATATATATATATATATATATATATATATATGAATATCCGTTATTGACAGACTATACTGACATGCTGTACTTCATCTTGTCCAAGAAAAAAATCATTACTAGTAAAACAAAGGCTTCCAATTCGACACAATCTAAAACAGGTGCCAAGTAAAGTCATAAGAAGTAAAGGCGGCATCAATAGTGAAATAAGGTTTCATTTCATGTGCTTTACAGTGGTGAGGAGACGCATTAGTATTTCCTACAATGGACACCCCATATCACAGATCTAGTTGACTTACTATATATGGCAGACAGACAGGATTACTGTATTTGATTTTAGTCGTGGAAAATTTTTGCTTGTGACATAGATAGCCATTGCATTTCCCCTATATATGGACTAAAATTGTATAGTTTCCCAGGTACTGAGCTGAGTGCATGGCGTAACATTGTGAGCTGTGAATTTAATTTAGAATGCTTCAGATCGAACTTGTGCTGTGAACTGCAGATTCAGAAAAATTACAACAAGCCTGTTGTCAAAGATATTTGGGTTTTTTCTGATGCAAATATTGCATGTGCAGCTACTTATCTGTTGTAACTACTGCTTCCATGAGCTGCATTTCTAGTATCGGACTGTTTATGTTGGCACTTCAAACAGCTGTCTTTGCTGCACGTGTATGTTATTGGCATCGCTGAGAATGCAGTCTGTGTCAGTTTTATATTACACGGGTCAAGGATGAATATTCTTTGTAGTTTTTGCTGGAACAGAAACGGAGCCTCTGTGGATTGACCCCTTTAGTATGAAGTGTGAACAGCCATTGCCTGATTACTATATGAAAATGCAACAGATGGACACAGTTTTATTCTGTCTCATTAAAAAAATAACACGAATAAAGCTAATCTACTTTTTATTTCCAAACTAGTACAGTATAACGCAGAATTAATCGAAGCCAATGTTCCGCTTACTACACCTGGGGTTCTGAATTCTATCTACGATTCCAACGCACTCATCCACGGAGCCTATGTCAAATTCCTCAAGCCTTGGTTCGACAAGTTTCCAGTTTCTCAGGTAAAATATTAGTTATCTGTTAACATGTTTCAAAAGCTGTCCCCGTGTGGTTTTCGGGGTGCCATTTTGTGGGATGGAGGTATGGACCCACCCCAAACTAGCATGCCGTAAAAGGCAACTAATAAGGCTGTTTCCTTAGAAGTCCGGTGCATTTGCATGAGAGGCAAGGAACCAACAGTCCGCATAAAAAATGCTGGATCCCTAACACCGATGTACACGTAAAATGAATGTTCTATAATAAGATGTAAGTACAGAAGTAGACGACCAATCAGAACTTTGCGAGGAAGTTAGCAGAAAAATGAAAGCTAAGAAAAAGAAGGAGAAATGCTGGTACCGTATGTTCTTACACACACACAGACACACACACAAACACACACACACACACGACACACACACACACACACACACACATGTTAACTTTTACTGGGTGCACTAAAATGTCCGATTGCCAAAAATATCTTCACACGCTGCCAACATTATGGACATAAATATTTATAGAAAAAGAACAATACAGATAAAAGTTTTCAAATGACATGAACATTCGACTCTACAGTATGATGAACAAAGACAAGACTAAGCAATTAAAAAATCTAGTTAAGTATATGAGGATATAAAGTAAAAAACTTAATGACCTTTTTTTCGCATTGTACATATGGGAAGATCATTCATATTTGTACAGACAAATTGACACTAGGTGGGTAATGTGGTTAGCATTTCGTTGGCAGTCTTAACTTCCCTATGACCCATTTTACTAATTTTAGACTGGGCCGACCTGAGACCCCTCGTACCATGAAAAAGAACCAATCCACGCAGCCAGCAGCGGGTTTCGATCACGGTACGTTGGAATTATGAGTCGGATTTGCAACACCTAAGCCACAGACGCCGCTGTATGTAGATAAATTAAAGAACATTTCGTATTTAATGGAAATAGGGAAGAAAGGGTGGGTGGGGGAAGGTGGGGGGGGGGGGTTGAATCATTTGCAGAGGCAATAACACAAAACAAGCAACAATATCTCGATCACATTTAAGACATTGTCCGATGTTTGTCGCCTTTTACCATATGCATGTTACGTGGCAGCTAGTATTTTCCACTTTACTCCAAAATCTGTCCGCGGATCACACACAAGGAAAACTAGTAATAAGAGTCTTCACCAGCTGAGGTAAAGACGTAAACAGGAGTGACTAATATGAAGAAGTACTAATTCCAACACAAACTGTAACCATAAACTGTAACCAGACACTGTTACCACAAACTTAACCAGATACTGTTACTACAAACTGTCCCCACAAACTGTAACCAGAAATTGTTACTACAAACTGTAACCACAAACTGTATCCAGACACTGTTAGTACAAACTGTAACCACAGACTGTAACCAGACACTGTTACTTCAAACTGTAACCACAAACTGTAACCAGCCACTGTTACTACAAACTGTAACCACAAACTGTAACCAGACACTGTTACTACAAACTGTAACCACAAACTGTAACCAGACACTGTTACTACAAACTGTACCCACAAACTGTAACCAGACACTGTTACTACAAACTGTAACCACAAACTGTAACCAGACACTGCTGCCACAAACTGTAACCACACAGTGTAACAACAGCTGTAACAAACATGAGTGTAATCACCTAGGGTAGGCAAAGTACAATACCATTTTTGCATCAGGTTACATCTTGCTACACCTAAATATGACTCCTTCGCTTGTGATAAGGTCCATCCTGTATTCCTTCGCTCTTGCCTAAGTAGTGCACTACGGCAAGTAGTCCGTTATTCATGTAGTTGAGTTCATTATGTAATAAAAGCAGCAGTGGTTAGACCAAATAGCACTCTATGTGAGATATTTTAGTGAACATCACAGTGAACCGAGAGATATAATGAGTCTCTATAGATGCATGTATTCGGAAGAATAGATCGCATTTTATGGAGTTGGGAAAACAAGTCGAATATCATAAGTTCTGGAGAACTGAGAACTCAAGGGAAAGAAATGTAACCGAACAAAAAAAAAAAAAAAAGAAACAACTAAAATATTGTCTCAACGTAAAAATAAATATAACAATCGTTTAAAAACCATTTTGGAGAAAAAGGTTTGGACAAGAGATCTAGAGGTATAAATTGATACAAGTGGAAAGACAGCATCGAGAGGGACGAACATTGATCTGACAAGTGACAGAGTGTGTGCAGCCAGATGCGGCGCCGGACTGATCTTTGTGAGATATATTCATTATTACAGTGCAGTCTTTATTCTCATATTTCAAGGTAATAATGTTAGGTTGGGTCGACGTACAAGCTCAGACAAACTATAAAGTTCGGCATTGACTGAAACCCCTCTCCTCTCTCAAATTTGTTCTTTATGTCTAATCATTGCAATTGTAAAAGACAATGAGACGGGGCTGACCCAAGTCTAGTCCATGCGCTACAGCGGCTTGCACTGGTAAATATCTTCATTATAATCATGTCAGGGTGTTGTTATATAGGGCCCGCAGTCTAGATTTCACTCCGGGTATTATGTATAATATTTCAATATCAGGAAGGGAATCTAATTCTGCACCTTTGGCTTCTACCAATAACCTTCTGCTTAAGGCGATCTCCTTTCGTTAATCCACGTTTTTTTAGTGGCTTTCTGCAGTGATTTCCCTTCTTCAGGCCACGTGTTTTATTTTTCAGGGGATCTTTTTGGGTATCTCCGTTGGTCAACCCATGTGTTTTATGTTTCAGTGCCTCTTTGTGGTGATCTTCTTTTGTCAACCCATGGGGTTTTCTTTTCAGTAGTTCTCTAGGGGTGATGTCTATTAGTCAGTACATATGTTTTCTTTTTCAGTATCTTTTTGGAGTTATCTCCTTTGGCCAAGCCATATGTTTTCTTTTTCAGTATATCTTTAGAGTGATTTCCTTTGGTCAACCCATGTGTTGTTTGTTTCAGAGCCTCATTGGAGTGATCTCCTTTGGTCAACCCATATGTTTCATTTTTCAATGCTCTTTTGTGATTCTTCGCCTGCGTCTGCTGAAAGTGTTGCCGGTATGTTGCCATCTTTTTGATAACTGTTGACTCCAGTAGTGACAAGTAAAGGACCCTGGTCTACACCATCAGCCGTGTTGGGCATATAGGGTTAGACATATATTGAATAAACCAATCGACACTCTGTTGGTGATGTGGTCAGTATCACCTCGACCGCCTTTACTTCACATGAATTTACCCGGTATCGATTTAATCCTGTGTTGACCTGGGAGCTAAGTTCATTTCGGAAAAAAATTTCCGGTTACACTTGCAGTGACTAAGTAATAATTTGCCCATACTTTAAATATTTTCAGATTCATATCTTGGAGGGCAGTGACTTTACGAAAGACCCAGCTACAGAAATTACCAAACTTGAAACATTTCTACAAGTTCCACATTTTATCACCGAAAAAAACTTTTATTTCAATACCACTAAAGGCTTTTTCTGTATGCGACCCTTGCATACTAGCAAAGGAAGTTGTCTGGGCGACAACAAGGGGAGACAATATCCCCGGTTGGATCCATTCGTGGAAAAGAGGTTATACGAGTATTATCGAGAACACAACGAGCAACTTTTTCAGCTTCTTGGCCGAAGATATTCTTGGAATGCGCCGGATTACATCCGAAGTTAAGCCAGGGCTTTCCAAAATATGTCTCGAGGCACATTAGTGTGAAGATGTTTAAGCGAACATAATGTATTTTTCATTATTTCTAATTAGAATTTAGACTCTGGTTTGCTAGTAGACTGAATTACACAGATGTAATGTAAGTCGTCCCCATGTGGGATATCAGTTTTTATTATTTAAAGCAAGAGATATATAAAATCCTTGCGTCCATGTTGGGACGACACTTTTTGTTCTTTAAAGCCCCACCCTGGCTTTTGCCAGGGGCCGCAATATAGGCAGGCCATGCATATGGCCAATTGTTTGAGCGCGGTTTCTGGGACCTCCCCACGGCAATCCTCATCCGCATGGTGGCACTTTGTGTCATCGGGTGTTTGTCGCTTGTGTGATGTCCTGGTGGGATAGAAAGTCAGTCAGTATTATTTGAAGCTCCACCCTGGCTTTTGCCAGGGGCCCAGAATATAGACAAGTGGCTGAAAGGGGTTTCTTAGACCATTCCACGGGTGATCCTCATCCGCATGGTGGCACTTTGTGTCATCGGGTGTTTATCGCTTGTGTGATGTTCTGGTGAGGTACAACTACCAACCACCAACTTAGACTGAAATACCGTATTTGTAAGACTATATCATATCATAACTGTCGCATTCTGAGTAGAGCTATTAATCCCTTATTTATGTGGAATTATATTTATTATCATGTAAGATCAACTGTTTTTCATTTGTAACGATTGATGTGTTTTGTAAAGTTTATACGTCTTTACCAATTATTGCGTTGTATGTGAGTTACTATTTTCTTAGTGCTCACATTATTGTTTCAAGCGTGTATTAACAATTGTTAGTGATTTATTTTAAAATTTGTTTTCCTTTGTGCCGGTCTTCTGAGTGTCAACTATTGTTTTCTTTAATTAGTTATAGTATATTATCGTGGGTTGATTTTGTAAAGAGAAATATTCAGTCACGTGTGTCTATTAAATTGTTTGATAAATTTTCTTTTTCTTTTTTGGTACATTATTAAAGTGAAGCGTTATATACACTCACTTTATTCTATAACCCTCATAGATAGTAACTTTCGACACTAAAAGTGCAAATTTTACATCTTATATTTCAATGCACGGGAGTCGAGTGTAGCCTAGTTACTAGCATGTTTTCCTCTTACCTAATAGCATTCCTGTGGAATACTGCGGATAGCAAGCGGTGGGTGATACTTCGAAGTGATAATTTGTTTGGCTAATGCAATTTATCACATATGGCATCGAGTCCACAATTTCCCTTGTTAAGCTTTTTTGTTAGTGTCTGATGTAACACTGTGAGATGTGTGTTTCCAGTGACATGCCTTCTTTGTTCTGTGTCCTCGCAGCGGCCTGTATCGTAATTATGAACAATTGGCAGGTTTGCTATGGATATGGCTGAACGCCTTTTGCATTAATAGTGTGTGTGCACAGCCGACTTGTCATGACTGACTATTTCAGTCATCAACGACTTATTATTCTGCTGGCAGCCGTTGTTGTTGGTGCCTCTAGTGATTTGTTAATTAATTAATTGGTTAATTAATAAATTGATGTTTTATCAACCGCTTATGCGTATTTCTTGATTTTCGTCAGATTAATTGTTCGCTAATTTTGGATAGGATAATGCGTGACATTTTGTGTGAATTTCACTGTCACATAAACGCAGACATTATGAGGTTACCAGCTGCAGCGAAGCTTAAACTACGACACTACTACTACCACCACTACTACTACAACTACTACTACAACTACTACTATTAATATCACTACTACTACTACTACTACTACTACTACTACTACTACTACTACTACTACTACTACTACTACTACTACTACTACTACTACTACTACTTTCTACTACTACTACCACCACTACTACTACTACAACTACCACTACTACTGCTACTACTACCACCACTATTACTACTACTACAACTACTACGACCACTACTACGACTACTATTACCACTACTACTACTACTTCTACTACTACTACTTCTACTACTACTAGTACTGCTGCTGCTGCTACTACTAATGCTAACACCACCACAACCACTAAAACCAGTACTACTACTGCTACTAATACTAATACCACTACTTGTACTGCTGCTGCTGCAACTACTAATACAACAACTACTACTACCACTACTGCTAATTATAATTGTAATAATACTACAACCTCTACCACTACAACAACCATTACTTTCACAGTTGCACCTGGACTTACGATACGCCTCAACATACGAACTTTTCAAGATAGGAACATTGTTCATATCCAGTTTTCACCACTACATACTATTCTAGATTCAAGATACGAACCGTGATGCACTGTGCAGTACATATTTGCATTTCGTTTTGTACAACTTTTTCAGTGTTTGTTTAATCAAACAATTCAATTAGTCCATATACACGCAAGGTTGGGAGGGGGGGGGGGGGGGGGGTAGTTACAATTAAACAATTTGAAAGATTGTTTAAATATGGCGTATCATTTCTGACACAAGGCTGAAGAAAACAAAGACGAGAAAAAGAACACGACATTACAAAATAAGGAAGAGACTGTGGACATATATGAGAAAGGAGTCTGAAAAAAACCGATTTGTTCAAGTAGTATAACGTGCCCATCCACCCTAGCAGCAAGTCTCAAGAAAGCACATTTTAGCAGACGTATCTATCGCATCATGTCTAAGACGTACTGTTATGGAATAGGTGGACATTTTACTACTCTTCTGAATTTATGACATCAACTGAAAAAATTTATGACATTCAACTGAAAGAATTCATGACATTCAACTGAAAGAATTCATGACTTTTAACTGAAATAATTCATGACATTCAACTGAAAGAATTCATGACATTCAACTGAAAGAATTCATGACATTCAACTGAAATAATTCATGACATTCAACTGAAAATTTTTTTTATGACATTCAACTGAAAGAATTCACGACATTTAACTGAAAGAATTAATGACATTCAACTGAAAGAATTCATGACATTCGACAGTAAGAATTCGTGACATTCAACTGCAAGAATTCATGACATTCAACTGAAAGAATTCATGACTTTCAACTGAAAGAAATAATGACTTTAAACTGAAATAATTAATGACATTCAACTGAAAGAATTCATGACATTCAACTGAAAGATTTCATAAAATTTAACTGAAAGAATTAATGACTTTTAACCGAAAGAAGTCATGACATTCAACTGAAAGAATTCATGACATTCAACTGAAAGAATTCATGACATTCAACTGAAAGAATTAATGACATTCAACTAAAAGAATTCATGACATTCAACTGAAAGAATTCATGACATTCAACTAAAAGCAGATAGTGCATCTGAAAAAAAAAAACTATCTGCCGTATAAGCGCTCAAGGTTTTTAAAACAAATATTGTACCAGAAATTGCCATCCACTCTCAGAAGCGAAGACATCGGTGACGAGTTTGAAGCTCTCGGAGGTTAGTTTGAGAAACTTAATAATAGAACCGTTCTTCATAGTGTTGTTATGATTTATTGATTGATTTGATTCAAAAACCGACATCACAGCACCCGGGGCATTCCCATAAGCGCTCCGTCTCCATCTTCAGCAGCCAGCGAAGAGTTCCGATACTAATGGTGCCAGTAGCTTTCTGATTAAACGTCCGTCTTGCCTTTCCTCTGAGCCTTGAGCTTCTGCCAGAACATCTCGTCACCCCCAACTGCATCAATCTCCCCAGACTGTGGTGATCCATCTGCTCCTCCGCATTGTACACGCTCTCCCACAAGGCACTAACCACGTCTGCCCTATCATGTAGCAGTATTCCACTAAGTTGTGCAGAGCCAGCCAGTCTGTCCGCCTGTTCATTTCCCAGCACACCGGCGTGACCCATTGAAAAAATCCAGACAATACTCCTCACTCGTGTCCTCCGTAGCGAAGCATGCCACTCTGCACGAAGCATGCCTGTTCTGATCTTCCTCAGCATGCTTTCTGAATCAGTTACAATTACAATGTGTGTGTGCGAGTATATCAGCGTAATACGGCGCGTATTTCGATTAAGCCACCTTCTTTATCCTTAGTAAAAGATGGCGGCCAAATCTGCTGGGTCTGTTCGTGTGGCTTTATATATCCTTAGTAAATATCGATCGGGACAGCCACCCTCTATATCCTTAGTAAATATCGATCGTGTGGCTGATGACAGCACGCGTGACGGGTTTTCTCGGGCGGGGAAAGACATATGGTGCATAAATCGATATTTTGTCTCCATAGCAACTGGTTATTCATTGTCGGTATGTGGGTATTTTCTTTATTAGTTTCATAACGGCAGGTGACAGGTGGCGTTATATAAAACGGGGGCAGGCAGGAACACTATTTAGGTGAGCAGCGGGGGCATTTGACCCGGGGCGACTAGGAAGGCGGCATGATGGCCGGGGATATATTAGAAAGGGCAGATTGGGCGCCGGCATCATCATCATCATCTATGTCATGGTAGCAAAGGTCGACCGCTCATGGATGGTTTGAGCTGTAGTAAAAAAGGACGACAGAAGGCTGGGTGTCTGGTAATACTGTTGAGGGTCGAAGAGAAGGGGCTAGAAAGGGCGACTCGAGCACCATCATCATCATCTGTGTCATGGTATTGAAGGGATGGTTTGAGCTGTAGTAAAAAGGACAGAAGGGTAGCTGTCTTGTCATAGTGTCGAGGGCAGAAGAGAAGGGGCTTACCTGACATCGGTGAGCAGCGGGGCGGGCGGGACAAGGGACCCGGGGCGGGTGTCTGGTAATACTGTTGAGGGTC